AAAAATAATAATATTAATCTCAATTACAGGATGATTTGTTCATCTAAATAATTATTAACTTTTTTTCTAAGTTAAAATCGAATAAAAACTCCTATATTTCTTAACTTCAAATATTATTAACAATAATTATTAAAATTCCTCCTCACATGGCTATAAAGTTATAGTTAAAAGTAAACCAAGACGATTTTTTAAAAACTAATTTAATTTCTTGACCTTGATATGTTGCTAAATTAATTAAATTTAAATAAAAGATCAAGAACTTTGTCTAGGTAAAACAAAATCTTTCATAATTCCTCTTATATTGAGATCTTTTTCTAAATCATTAAAAAGATTTTGACGCCAGTTGGCCAGATGCAATAACTAATCATCAGCCTCGGTTGCAAATGTTGCAAGTTGGATGTGCAGCCCAGGTTGAAAGAATTAAACAAGAAGAGAATTAAGCAGTGCGTCTCGCGACATCTGTAAGGTGGAGGCGCGCCAGGTTGCGTTGCTCTGAAAAAAGCCGAGCCACGCGTTCGCGGCGCCTGTTGCTCTTCGGCCGCGCGGAATAACAAAAAGCTGCTGCGGGCCAAAGTTCGGCTGCAGCTGCTGCGCCCAAAATCGCATCTGGCAATCAGTGGAACAGACTATAATGACTGCCGTTTCCAATTGCATCTAATCGGTAGAATTACCGCAGCAATCTGTAAGACACACATACACCAAATGTTTGCGTAGAGAGATAAAAAAAAATGCAATAGGGGTGGAAAACACCTTTCCTTTATCTCGCTTGGCTGACAGCAGATTTTTAATCAAAACCAGCTTTTTTAACAACCCTTCCGTTATAAAACGGCTATAGGCTATAGGGGTTGAAAAAGGAAACTCATAAAGAGAACGTCAGCTGCTTTAATATTTTCTATAAGAAAGGCGAGGGGAAAGAAAGGTGTTTGGTAAAGATTTTTATCATAATTCAGCGGTAAAAATAATATTTTTATCACTTTTTAGTGGTTGGCTGATGTCCTATTAATTTAACTGCAATTATTAGGCAATAGTATTGAAGAAAGAAAAATCTATTGAAATTATCTTAATTATTAAAATTTTTTGGATTTTTTGTTTAAATTTAAAATTTATGAGTAGGATGAAGTTTAAAAAAAATGCAGATTTATATCTGTTGACGGAATAATTAAAAATAGCAAAATTAATTATCTTACTCATTGATAGGTAAAAAAATCATGTAATGTATAAAAATAAATATACAATAAAAAATTTGCACTGAAATTCGGTCTAGGGATGCATAAATGATAAATCTGAATAAAAAAATCTCAGTTCCAGAAAATCAAATTAGCAAATTACCCTGTCGTGACAAGCAAGGCCGCCGTTTTAATGATATGTTTCGGCTCGCACGATGACAAGCGGCCAAAATAAATCGCACGCGGCGGCGACCCGCATGGGAATTCGCACCACTCTCTTGGCTGAACAAAACCCCAAATAGCTAAACAAAAAAGTTTGCTGGGCATTTTTGATAAATGAAAGAGATATTGTGCGTGCGCTGACTAAATTCGCCAAAACGCTGCGGCGGCGCGAGATAAAGGATCAGTCCTTGAGCTAGAGCAAACTAAAAAAAAGTTGGCGCGGCTTCGTTATTTGTAACCGCAATGCATAATTAGTGGCGGTGGGAAAATGAAATTGCATTCGCTCATTATTTGATCCCACGCTTTGCTTGCTCGCTTCGATCTTTTTCGCCGGCTTTTCCTCTATATTATCGCCGGCGGAAAGAACGCAGAAATCGCACTGTGCACTCTCCCATCCTCAAATGCAATCGACGCAGGAAAGGAATCAGACAGAAAAAAATATATGTTATGTCTTACTTGTCGGCATACTTACTCGATGCTGTTAATTGCATAACACAAACACTGGCTTGAAATTATGACTTACTTGATGCCTTGAAATTTTGTGAAAATTAGAATACTGATATAAATAAAAATTATGGAAAAAATGCCCAAAAAGATATTTGGTGCATGTTAATTCAAAATCAAAAGTTGACCAATGTTTACAATTTTATTATTGGTTTTAATATGAATTGATTGTTATAATTTGACCAATTTCAAAATTGGCAATGTGAACAGCATGGGAATTAAATTGAATAAGGTACTTTATGGTATTTAAATTTTATAATATTTTTCTGTTCAGGATTTCATAAGTAACCTTTGAATAGAAGATATTTAAAATATGCTAATAAATAAATAGTGATCAGATCAATATGACGTTTCGAGAATAATATCAGCACTTTTACATACCAATAATTCAAGTTGATTAGAAGATTTTTGATTATTACCACGTGGAACATGCAATACAAATGTATGTGGGTACAATTTTTTGAATGCCTTTTTGATCGTCTCTGAACTCGTTTGCACCCACATTGGCATAACCGTGTGCACAAATTAGACAGAACGAGAGGTGATCCACCCCTGCCTCATGGAGGCAAAAAATACTAAAAAGCGTAATTAGCATGCAAATTTATTCGTGATGTAACACCGACTCGAAACAACTCACATGCATGTGCACTTGTTCGTACGTACTCAAAGCACCTGTAAAAAAAACCGGTCGCGGCTAATGCTTGAATTAGCGAGCGCCTTGTTAATGAATATTTTAGTACTACGAACGATATGCAAGCGGTTTTCCGTTGGAACGATGAACTTGCCAAATTGCGATATGACTTCTGAAAGAGGGGAACGATAATATTTTCGAGAGTTCAAAACGCATTTATTTGGAGTTTGTTGTTGCATTAAATCAAGAGAGTGTTTTTATTTTTTTGGGTATTTTCACGGTTTGTTTCACAAATTGCTGCAAAAAGAGGGGCGGACGCGCAATTTGCGACTGAATTTCTCAGCGCAAAAAGTAGCCAAAATTATATGATCTAATCTAAATGGAATATTTAATATTTCCAGTTATTTATAGAACGAATTTTTTGGCCAAACAACGGAAATCATTAAAAAAGGCGTCAAGTTGTTTTAATAGAGTTAAAAGCAAAATTTCAAGGTTCGCACTTTAAAAGCAGTAAATTAACTATACAAATATTTTGGGGGAGTGCGAATTTCTTAAAACTTAATGGAGACCCCCTCGCGATTCCTGGTAGAAAGCAGGAAAGACTCATTAAATTGCAAAATATCGCTAGAAAATATAAAAGTATGTGAAAAAGTTATGCTAATGTATGATGCCTTGGCACGACGATTTTATCATAAATATTTTATTATATTGCTCATGCAGGCGAAAGGGTTATGTTTTCAACTCCTCGCGAGATATGATAATGACGATGCACCCACCAGAAAATATTTTAATTTTGCGAACTGAAAATCTTGTTCTTTGAAGGAGCACAATGGCCAGCGCGTTTTTCAACCAGGGCGCCTGGGAAATGCATTTTTTTTGCGTATAGCTTGAAATTTATGCTCACGTTCTTCAGGTGCTGTAAAATTTAATGTGTCTCTCTCTCTGTACATGTTGAATACTTCAAATTTCGTTGGACAGAAATAATTAAAATAGCCTTTTTTGCTAGCCATTTTTAAGCAATTAACTCTGTAAATTAAAAATTTAATTTTAAATACTTTTTTACAGAGGTTCTGTATAATAATAACAATAACAAACACAGGCAAATAAAAAAAATCATTTTCTTCACTATATAAATAACTGATAATGATAATTCACCTTCAGCACAACATCCACCTGCGGTTGTAAATTTTTTTAAAGGGCTTACCTTCACCACCACCTTGCCATTTCCTTCCCAAACAAAAACACTCGCAATATAAATGGGAGTACATGTGAATGTGTGCATGACCTGTAAAAAAATAACAAAAAAAGAAGCAAGCTGCCACGCGACGCAGGTGGTGTACGCGTTGGCCGATCTCCGCTAATTGCCCTCGAAAAAGCAGGCACACCCTTGATGCTGCTGCTTCTGGCAGATGATTCGGTGCGACGATCGAAACAAAAGACGCGCCAATCGCCACCTGCCTCACGAAAAAATTATTGCTCAAGCGATTTTTATGTTGCCATGAAAACGGAGCGGAGGCTGAAGCTAATGAACAGAGCAGATTTCTACCTGATTTTTGGTATTTGAGATGCATTTAGGGAAATTATAGGAGATGCCGATTATTTTTAAAGTGGATATTTGTAATATTTTGTAGCATTCCAAATATGGGCAAATTAATAAAGTAATGAAAACTGCAGAGAAATTAATTGTTGTATTATAGACAAATTGTCCCTATTTTAAAATAAATATAATTCATTCACGTTATTTTATAATATAAACATATTTTCTTGTACAAATTTATTTATTTTTTGGTATTTAAAAATAACCATTTCAGATTTTTTGTATGATATATATTAATTTGATTGCTATATTTTTTAAAAATTTCAAATTCTAATTTTGAGCTTAATTTAATTTTTTTTTATTAATAATTTTTTAGTTTAAAAATATAAACATATTTTAATTAAATTAAATAATATAATATATATATTGAACAGCATGTAATTTGTTATCATCTGTGCAAAATTGCAACTGAAGAATTCTTAGTTTTGATGGTTGGTTCATTGCGTTTAATATTTTATGTAAACATTAACAATGTTACATACGTTAACTATTTGGGGCCTAATTTTTTTCCCAATAATTGCAAGTGCAGAAGACTATTATATTTATTTTTTTTTTTTATTAAAAGATGCGTTAAAAATGCTCAATTCAACTAACGTCAGGTTTAAATTTTTGAAACTTTCCCAGCAAATTGAGCATATTATCAACTAAATGTTAAAAGAGGCTACACATTTTAAAACTTGTACATTGAATGTTAACGGTTTCATTTAAAAATACCAACCTTATTTCTTTCTAAACGTTTGGCTAAATGTCATATTTCATTTACATTATCAACGTTTTCTGGCTTGTTTTCAACCAATTTGTAAAACGAATCGACATTTTCATAAATTTAAAATCAATTATGTGAGAAATCGTCTAAAATTTCTTTGCCGTGTTGTTGCAGACCGCGACTGTTGGAGAGCGTCCGTTGAACCTGAGGTGTTCAAAGTGTCCACCTGGCTTTGGGGTCGTGCAATCCTGCACCCCCGAGGGCGACACCGTTTGCGCCGAATGCGCCCCGGGCACCTACTCGTCGCACAATTCGGCCACCGAGTCGTGCTTCGTGTGTTCGAGGTGCGGCCCCAGCCTTTACGAGGCGCATCCGTGCACCTCGCGCGCGGACACCGTGTGTGACCGGTGTGCCACCATCAAGGGGCCGCACAACCGCGACTTCTTCGCCAAACACTGCAACGACACGATTTTCATCATGGAGCAACCACCGCCGTCCTCGGCCAGGAGGGATGAATTGTTCGTTCAGTACGAACACCACCCAGGTAAGGGAAAATAAATTTTTGAATTTTATCAATCGAATGTGTTTCAAAATGGGATTTCTGCAATCATTTAAAACATAATGATTTCTTAGTACTCTCAAAGCGTTAAATTAGAATATAATTAGGTGCTCAAAAAAACAAATGCAGGAAAAAACTATAAAAATTATGCTTTTTATCAAGAATATTTTGGAACAATTAATATCATGACCAAAAATGAGAAATCGTAAAAACAAAATGTACACAATTTAAATTGGGATATTTTGAAATTAATAAAAATTAATTTTAAATAATAATGGTTTATTTTTTCAATAATAGCATATTGTTTTTACCCTTCAATATTTGAAAATTGTAAAAGTTTAAATAGATATTTCATTTTAATATATGTTTTTTTTTATTAAAGTGAGGAGGGAGTATTTCCAATCTATAATTCATATTATATATTTTTTTCTGGATTTTTTATGTTTTAATAAATTGACAAACGAATTAAAATTATTTTTGTTGAAATATTGATGCAATATATTAGTATTCCAAGCATAAAATGGCCCACACATTTAACACCGTGACTGCAAAATGTAGGGCGCGGGGACATCATGATTAAAATTTGAAAATAGATTTCCTGCCATTGAAAGAAAGATTTTCCCCGAACAATTAAACCGCGATAAAAGACAAAGAAGACACACAGTTATAATTTCATATGCAAATTCAATTTTGATGACGAAAATAAAAGGGTCGTCGAGTGGCGAGCCGATGGACACTAATTTGAATAATAATAATGCGGCTGACAAAAACTGTACTTTTACACTTCTCTCACAATTATTATTATTAAAGATAGCGGCACATATTTTCTAGAACGATTATTATTCCATTCAAAGGACATATTAAAAAAATATACAACACGCAATTGTATGACAACTTGTTAAATTTTTTTATTCAGAATTCGACTTCCTGCAATAATAAAAGGTACCATGCATAATGATTAAATTTGGATCTCGCTCCTTTTAATTGTATGCAAAAAGTCAAGCTGCACGCATATAAATTGGTTTTTCAGCGACTGTTGCGGTGGTGCAATGTTCCTTTTTATGCTCTACAGCTGCCTCGAAAGTTTGAATAATGCACCACTGACGATATGTTAACACTTTTTAAACACCAACTCTCCGAACTCCCTCATCATCGCAGCAGCGAGAAGCACCTGCGTGTTTATTTTTTAGCCCAGAGCCATATACGCAGGCAAGCAGAATCGAGAGTCTATTATTGGTTGAGAAAATTACACGCGTCACCTCACATAAATAAATACATCTTCGAAATGCATCAGTCGAAAAATTATCAAGGAATTTCGTTTCATAATAAAACTACTGAATCTTTAACATTATTATAATGTAAAGGATTTCTGCTTTAACTTAAAAATTGGCCATAATTTATATAAATTAATAAAAAATATTTTAATCACGCGCTGAATTTACTGCAAATGACTGATGAAATAATGAAAAAAATCTTTCTTTTGGCGAAATTTGTAAATTATTTAAAAAAAAATTAGAATGCTAATTAAAATTTTACAAAAAAATTTAAGAAAAGTTAAATTGATGGTTTACATTTAAATACTCTATTGATAATGCAAATGAAATTAAATCGCTATCAACACAAATAAAATAAATTACTCCGCAATAATAAAATTATGGAACAAAATGAATTCAGACACAAGCCATTAAATAAATCTTTTAAATTTATTGTTTAATTCGGCTTAATTGATCATAATTAAAGTATTATACAACAAAACCTTCTGTGTTCACAAAACGCAGCTTAAAAATTTTCACATTCTTCAAACTCTTAAAGGAATTATATTTTTGCGATGGAAGCTGAAGATAAGCTTTAATAAATTGTAGCAAAGTTGTGGTAATACCTAGAAAAGGCGCCGTTTATGTTAAAAGGGAGCACGCCGGCGGAAATGCCTGCCTCAAAATTATGTGTTCCGACATGAGCAAGTAGCCATTCTTGCTTGTCCACTTAATTTTCGCTGAAAATAATGTGCGCGTTTTCTCATGTTTGCCTTTTGCTTATCAGTTGCAGATCATCAGGAGTTAAAAGTGCCGTCGTCGGAAGGGCCGCACTGGACGACAATAGGCGCGGCGAGCGCGGCCGTTCTCGGCGTCGCGGTCCTTCTAGTCACCATCACGCTCCGACTGAGATCCTCGTACGCACGCAAACTTCAGGTTTGTGTAATTTTTAAATTGCCAATTTCCTCTACATTAAAAGGAAACACCCCATTTTAATGAGAAATTAACACTATCATCCATTAAAGTTCAAATTTCGTAATTCTTGTCTAGTTCTAAACACAGAGAAATAAACTAATAAATTTTTGAATTTTTTTCACTTTTTCTTTGCAATTTTTTAACATTAATCAGCTTAGCTTATAGTAATTTTTTATTTTATTTTTATCATTTTTAAAATAAAGAAGTAAACTTATGTGTTTATTTAAAAAGATTTTATAACATTAAATATTAGAATATATGTTACAATCATTATAATATTATTTAATAATTTATCTCACGTTTTATTGAATAAATTTGTACTTTTCAACTAAGAAAAATTAATTTATATCTAAAAGGTTAATGTTAATAACGGAATTCAAGTAAAAGTATTCCTTGTTGAAAATTACTTGTTTATGCAAAACACATGTATTGTAGTGGCTCCATGAATTTGGTCACAGCTTACTTCAACCTGTTTCATTAAAAACGTAACGAAAAAATATTAGAAAAACGCAGAAAAATGGGAACACCACTTGAAAAAAAATCTTAATTAGCACTTGTGATTGCGTGTCTAATAATATTTTTATTTAATTCTATAGGAGGATCATTTGGGTTTGGACCAAGAAATGACCCTACTGAAAGAAATAAGACCGCCCGATGACTTCGACGATGTTATCTGCATAGGACAGCAAGACATGGCCCTTATTTTGCACGAGGAAGAAAAACACGAAGAGTCCGACGCGATCGGCTAATGCAGAAAGATCGCTCTGCTGCTTCGCCATAATTTTCGAGTGCTTGAACCAAATTGCGGTGATTTCAGAGACACTTGCTTTTTAATTTTAACTTTTATTTAACCATTGTCGTACAAATTGAATGGGAATCAAATTGAAAGGATTTTGATTTGTAAAGAGGACGAACTATCCTACCGAGAGAAGTATTAAAAATAGAGACTTATGAATGTAGCTAGGCTTTGTAAAGAAAAGAAGTGTTTTACGAGGAATACAAGGCGCATTTTGAGGAAGGACAGAAAATGCCAAAAATTGAGTCCAATCTAATCCACGTTGTATAGAAAAATGCCAATTATCGAAATATCGGGTCTTTATTTGTTGTAAAGTCTTGATCTCATTTTAGAATTTGCAAATTGATGTCAATTGCTCAAGTTTGGAAAATGCTGCTGGATTTTTGAGACGACCACACCGGCTTTAGAAGGGAAATGCTAATGATGATTTTTGGCGCTGCGTTTTAGTTTTGACTTTATATGAAAATATGTGTTCGTTTTATCATTCAAGTCGATTTCACCACTTCGTGTTCGACGGTCCAAAATTTCATTTTTTTCTTTTTTAACTTTTATCAAGTGCCTTACGAGAAATCAACCTTGTATTATGAACATTGAATTCAAAATCTAGACTGACTGCGTACTTTATGAAACCAAAAAACGATTTTGAAGGTGTAGAACTTAACTCTTAAATTATATTGATGTAGATTTATGTAAAACATAGCACTTTTAACATGTAGATTGTCGCCAAGTGACGGAAACTATTAATTTAGACAAACAAAAATTTGTATAAAATGTTTCAAATTTTGTGATTCAAAATTTTTGATGTACACATGGAAATAAAATATAAAAATCCTGATTCTAACTTTACAATATATTTTATTTCATATCATTACATTTTTGCATATAGTTTTTCCACTACAACTTTGAATCTAACAACTCATGTACCTATTTTAAACTAGGTTCTCAGTTTTCTTTTTTTTTTACTTTTTGGTTATAGCCAATTACACAATATTGATATAGTTTTTCGTGACGATCGAGCGAGACACTCGTTCTCAGTTCAAAACCAAAATCCTTCATCTTTTGCAGAACATCTTTAAGTCACTGAATAAGTTCTGTTTGCATTTAATGGAATGTTGAATGATCAAAAATAGAAAAATCAATATGAGCGAAAAACCTGCATCAGTAACATGATAAGTTTATCTTTTATAACAATAACCAATTCTTTAGAAAAGCATCGTCTTCATAGCTGTCCTTGAAGAGTTATGTATAAAGGAATTAAATTTAATAAGACTTTCGATCTTAATGTACAATGATGATTTTGCCTATTTGCATATACAAGTTCAAACTTTTGAGTTGAGCAAATGAATTAAAAAAACTCGCAATATTTACTCCGATGCAAATCAAAAACTAAATACTTCGCTACATGCATAATAGGTAAATTCATGTCCTTGCTTACTCGCAATTAGCGTTACAGAATATCAGTTTCATATATTCAATCATCCGATAACATTTAACAATAAAAAGTAAAAAGAGGAAGCGAAAACAACGCACTCTTCCCATTCTACAGACTTTTCATCCGTTTGACAAATATTTTTAATTATCCTGTGATCAACTCTTTCATGGCTTGCTTCGATTCCAGACGTTATTTTTGGCGATTTACTCAATAAAATGCATGCGTCCTCTACACCCGACACTCACGCGAGCTTGTTTTACACAGCCACAAATGTGTAAATTTTCTTTAGCCAGCCATTCAGGAAAAGGATTCAACCACACAATAACAAATATCACTGAAAGCAAATAGTAAAAGTATCGATCATTACTAGACCATTCACCACCATTGTGTCTTTTCTTCATTTTTGGTGCAGACAATAAATACAGTATGCACGGGCATTGCACTTGCAAATATTTTTCAAATTTTTATACCTTCAAACACGCCACAAAAATTATTGTTCTGCTATTTTGCCATGGGTATTGAGCACTAAGGATAAAAGGCTAGGAGGAAAAATTGTATACACCATTCTTGTTCCCTTTCCTGCAGATTTTTTTCTATTGATTTGGATTAGATACTAACAAAATCACGTTTGTGCTCAAAAAATTATGACGCTCCACCAGCATTTGGGGGGTTTCCTCTCTCTCTCAGTTTTCGCATATACAGAGTGTGTACATTCATGGCTTACGTAGGGGATCGAATAGTTGAAGTGTTGACAAACAATCAATTTTTTATAACACCTTACGCAGTTTGATAAGAGAATATTTTAGACAGAAACAACTCTCGTATAGTTTGTTACTCATTGGCTTACTTTCTAGAACTGATCCACCAGAAGGTCGCACACGGCAATTGCTACGGATTCTTTACTGGAACGCACCGTCAGCCTGAACATCTGCAAAACAAAGTGCAACACAAAGATTTATTTAACAGCCATCCCAAGGAATGTTTATCTTTTGAAAATTGTCATTACGAGGTACTTTAAAACTTTGTCTAGCATTAATTTTAAAATCAAAGCAAGATAATGGCAATTAGCTGTGATTTTACTCGGCCCAGCCACCAACAGCACTTTAGAATGTTTAACTCACATCAATGTTGGTTGGCGAATCATAAAATCCGTTAGACGCCTGAAATCATAATTTGGCAAAATGACTTGGAAGCAATGATTCAATGAGACCCAAGCCACAACCAGCAAAGAGGAATGAAGTAATAACCAGTGCCAGACAGAGTTTGTAAAAATCAAAACTTAGTTTCAGTGTCACAAACCTGTGCTTGCTTGTTGGGCTCTAATCTCAGGAGGCATCCAATCTGCTGCATGCTTGTGTGGATGATGCCTGCACAGACAAAGTTCTCAGGATTGGGGTCGATGCCATCAAGCAGCTGCATTCCAAAACCGATCAACTTCGTGCGAATGGCAGTTATGTCCATCGGCTGTGAGGCTTTGAAGATTTTTTGCGAGCGTTGCTGATTTCTGATGGTATTAAACAATCAATTAATAGATATTTCGTAATACAATATGCAAAAGTCTTTTAAAATTTATCAAACTTACCCGCCAAGGTTTTTCCACCTGGCAAAGAACACTTCGCCCGTCATTTCGGTAGGCTCGAAGAACTTGTTGACAGTGAGTGGAAGCCTCAGACTTAATTTTTGTGGTGTTCCATTACACATGAAAGTTATGGCCAAGCCCGGTGCGTCTAAAGTCATTTAGTGTTAATTAAAAATTAAAATTATTTCATCTATTTTCAAACCTGGATAATCTTCTGCACACTCAGCATTGACCATTTGTTGCACTTGAGCGCCTGCTTCAATTGCTGGGTCAACCTTTTTGCTCTGCACGTTTAATTTTCCAATACACTCTGGTGGATTGGAAACGACGGCAGCAAAGTTTTGAAGAGTGGCTGACGTTTTGTTGCCATAGAAGAGAGTTAGGCGGCCGAGATTTTGTCTAAACTCAGACTTGACTCCAATTTGGATCAGATCGTTCTCAAAGAGTACGCCATTGTTTTTACAAACAAATCTGGAATACAAAGAAAAAACCAAAATAATTTATGATAAACCTTATGAATTAATATTGGCCTAAGAATTCATAACTAATAAAATTCAGCTATTTTTAGTTATAAATTATTGCAGAAATTGTAAGTCCTTACTTGGCAGGATTGTAAGCGTTTTGTGCAGCAACATTGTTGGAGTGTGGCTGGGGAGACCCTGAATTATAAAGCTCTCCAAGCATGTCAACCAGGACACCTGTGTTGCCAGCAGCAGGGGCTGCTGGTGGTGTAGACAGACCCAACAGGTCTGCTGAAGTGTTGGCAGAAACTGTTTTAGCCGCAGATCTTTCTTCCGAATGGTTGGCTGTGGCGCCAGGAACAGGACTTTTATGTTCTCGAATCTCGTTCTCAGGTACGCGGCCAGGCTTCTTCTTCTTTAGCACCGCCAAAATTGAGGATTCACGCTCCGGGAACACAGGCATCTCCTCCAGCACCGTAGCCTGAAAATGTTCGTATTAGTTTTTTCAATGGAGGAAAATACAGCCATTTTTACACAAAAGTACAAGTTTTTGCTAATCTCTGACAAAAAATAGAAAAATTACTCACAAGCATGTCATGGGAGGCAATTATGCTGAGCTGGAGGTATTCAGATGCTCTCTGCTGCAATTCGGCGTCAGCGCTGCGGAGATTGCTATGCTGCTTAAAGACCTCCTGGATCTGACCCTTAATTTCTGGGAAGAGGTTGACAAACTTTATGTACGTCGAGAGCAGTAAGGCCCTGGTCATCGGCGAGCACAAATGGTACTTGGAGTGCAGAAGTTGAAACTGAACCGACGGCGAAGACCTCTGGTCACCAGCTATCAAGTTTCCAAACTCGCCAAGGATGTAGCCGCCCACTTTGACCATGTTCTCATGGCAGGCTGGTGCTTGCAAAGCCTCAAAAACAGTTTTGGCTGCATAACCCTGAACGTCATCTCGGTTGATGACAATTTGGATGACACGGTACCAAACTTCCTCCGAGACATAGTCCCCAGCAATGCGGATCAGGTTCAGGATCACGTCCACATACCATGTGTAATCAGTTGCATATTTCTCAGCCAAAATAGCCACTTTCAAAACCTAGAACAAATTTTTATATGATATTGAAAAATATTTTTCCCTTATACTTTTTCTACAAGAACGAAGCATCCAAAACAAAAAATAAAATTATGGTTACCATTTCCTCTCTGATGGAGTAATCTGCAGTTTCCAAGTAGTTCAACATTTCTTGCACAATTTCCTCAGCGTTGGTCTTATCACACATAGCATATAACAAGTCAACAGCTTGTTGTCGTACAGAGACATCTTTCTCCATCTAAAATATCAACTTAGCATACTTTTCGATCAAACCCAAAATATTAATTGTACCTTCATGGATAATATGACGACTTCTTGGTGTTTTTTTACAGCATCATGAGAAAACTCGGATGTCGCAAGTAAGCACATTGACTCCAGAGCCAAGTATCTCAAGTTGGTCTCACGATTTGATAGGAATTGGCCAAGCTGGTTGCAAGCTCGTACTAGCAAGTTTGGCTCACTAAAAAAAGTATTTTATTTTCAAAATATTGTGAGAAATAGAGAAACCAACCTGTCCATGTGAATGATGAGACTTATTGCTTCAAAAAGCACGGCATTTTTGGCATTTGAGTGTTGCACTTTTTTCGACTTTGGAGGTTCCTGGGCTTTGTTGAGGATGGTCTCCAAGCACTCAATTAACCTACCCCTTACACCTGGATCGTCTGTAAATAAGAAATAATTTAGAAGTTGAAATAAAAAGTTTGCAGTCTTCTACCAGGTGGTGAATAATTCTGCAAAAGCCTCAATAATTTTACAGACAACCATGGCGCTGGTACAAAGTAGTATGTGTAGTCTTGAAGATCTGTGTAGCTGGCAGTGACAATCTAAAACAAAATTAGAGAAAAACTTAATAAATACTAACTTTCAAATAGGTAGTTTTCATACCCTGCTGAGCCTTGAAACAGCCAAGCTGATGCAGCCTTTGTACTCATCCGGGTTCTTTTTGACCAGAGCGTCGATGAAGCTGGTTGCAGCAGTGACAACACCCATGTGCTGATCGTTCAGCAGATGGATGATTCGAGAGGTCCACTCGCCCCCTGGAATGATTTCTGGAGAGGTTCTGAATAACCTGAGTAAGCAAAGAGCTGCCGACTGTTTCACAACGTCCATCGTATCTCTAGAATAAGAGAAAAATACAATAAGTTACATAACACTTTGATAATAAACATTTCTGAGGAAAAAATTATGCAACCAGTTTTTATTTAGAAACATAATATCATTTTTTTAGTTGTGATTTGTAACATAAAAATGTCCTACCCTGACACAAGGAGTTTGGGAATATCATGACCAAAAACCTCCGCCATCTCTTTGCTGCCAATGTTAGCAATGCACTGGAGTGCAAGATTGACATGGATAGGGTTCCTAGACTGCAGATCGTTTTTGATGCTTTGGTTGATGAGATTGATCAGGTCACTCCTCGTGTTGACCAGAACAGATATGAAGAGATAGCCCTAAATTGGAATCAAAATTAATAGCTTTAATTTCATATAAAAAAAAAAATCAGAGGGCGTACGATTTGCTTCTCAGAATATTTGTTGGAGGAGAGCAGATTGACTGCTTCCATGTGGCCAAAGTCGATGTCGTGGCCGAGCAGGAAAATAAACAAGAGCTTGCAGACATACTTCTTCTTTTGGTATCCGTCGAGAGTCTTATCTCCTTTGAACTTGCTTCGGATGTTGGCTAACTCTTTGTTAATACGCTTTATTTCAGCCTCTTTGCTCTTGCCTGTAAACAACATTGCATAATATTATTCATTTTATTTAGTCTGATCGAAATGAAAGGAGAGCTTTTAGGGAAGAAAAACACTGTAATGTTATCATGCTTAAAACTACAGACGGGGTTTTTGAGTTGTTAAAATTTAAAAATATCATACTTTTCAAAATGAATTTTAAGTAACTACACCATATATAAATTAGATTTATTTAATAGACAGCTATTAATGAGCAAAATGTTTGTACCCACAAAAACTTTCTGGAAAAAACTTTCTGGAAGTTTTTGTGCCCTGAATCGTCTCTGGGGCGATTATCAGTGGGATAGGGGGAAATTAAACCGTTCAAGAGCTGTGCAAACTGACATGTGACCAGAATAATGGGGGCGTTTGGGACTCACAATTTCTGATATCGGAGATGAAGACCGCCAGCCCTCGCATGCCATCGCCTCGCACTGCCGGCATCTTGCCGCCTTATCACTCCACCAGCTCACTGTCAATCTTCTTCCTACGAACAAAATCCACAACAAAGGGTCAGATGGCCATAATTTAAAAATCACATGCTATTGTGCGGCTGCTTTCCCTACAGCTAGCTTTGACGCGGCGAATCGAGAGGCATATCAAAAATGCCCTTCGCAGCATCATTGTCTGCTTAATTGGGTACTTATTTGAGTGGAGAAGAAAGAGGGCCGTTGAGTTTGTGAAGGATTGACTTTTAATCTTTGCCCACTTTGTTTTAAAAGTAGGCGCTTTCAATTCATTATTATAAAATAAGCAAGCGCTGATTTGGGTATAATTAACGATAAAAAATTTTCTTGCCCTTGAAATTTAATCAACTTAATTACTTTCAATTTATAATTGTTATTTTTTTTAACTGATAAAAAGTGTAAAAAAGGGTATTAAAAATTTAATTAAAAAAATCATTTTCTTATCAAAAAAGCCTTGAATTGAATAATATTCCAAATCAATGTAAAACTCACGTTGAAGTAAAAAATAAAATGACCTAAAAAAAAATACAATAAATTAAAGGCTAATATTTCACTTTTTTCTGTTAGAGAAACAGGCAAAAAAAAAAAAATGGAAAATATACTTTATTACGTAGAAAAATGGACAAATTCTGCAAACAGTTTCAAATTTGGGGCAAGTATGAATCGATAATTGCAGAGATTTTTTGATCTGCGTGAACGTGTCAGGTTCAGTCTGAATACAGGAGAAATTTCAGGTTTGTCCAATTAACCTGGCTGCTTGCTGGTTTGTCGGACAAAGAGGGTATAATTACGGCAAATTCGCCCCAAGGAGTTGTGAGGCCGCGACACAGCAGCTGATGTCTGCTCGCATGCCGGCCCTAGTCTAATATTCGGTGCGACTTGCAACCGACGAGCCACCAACGGACGGCGAATATTGATCTCGGCACTTCCAACGCTTGCGCTGCTCCCTCCGAACGTAAAGCCGCGTATCGCAAAACACAAGAAATGACTCGGATAAAACGCCCACAACAGGAATAAAAGCGAGACAGACAAACTTATCAACCCTTTCCGCACAAAACGATTAATTAATGGAGCGTGACATTTAAAAAAAAAAGCTAATTGACAGCGGGGATTTTGGAGAAATCTCCGGAAAAAATCACTGGAATAAAACAGCTGACGATATTTTAGTTGTTTTCTTGTTTCTTCGACAGTGAATATGCTTGTGATTTGATAATTATGCGATATTAATTTTTTTTTTTAAATAAGGAAAATGATAACATAAAAGATAGAGAATTAAGGTCACAAATTATTTCACTCATTCAGGGACAGTGACATTCATGCTAAAAACTACATCAAGAGCGAAGAAAAATAATTCAGTCTGTTGTTGAATAAAAAATTAAATAATTTTTTGAAGCACAAGCATCCGGTCAAAAAGAAGTGATTATAAATATAATAATTATTCACTACGATTTTTCTACTCTCAATAATTAGCTAAGAATTAAACGTGATGAATTTTTAAATTACATTATGTGTATAAAAATCTTTAGAAATTAAAAAAGATAAAAATTGTCATATCATACAAATAAAATTTTGGCAGCCTGAATAGATTTTAGTAATTTTTTCTTTCAGCCATCCTTCAATCAAAAATTTTCAGATCACATCTTTTCATGGCAACATTTTATTTACATATTCCAATCGAGAAAAACTGTCACCATATTTGGTCAGTTCGTTGACAAATTGAGCTGCGTGACAGGACACATAAAAATGCACTTCGGTGCTCAGCGGCGAAAATTCCAAAAAAAATTTGCAACAGCCGGAATGCCGAGTGCATTCCTCCGGTCACTGCGTTACGAATTCGGCGCCGACGTTTATCGTTTCGGCACGAGTGGCTTCTTCAGACACTCGAAAACAAATTGAAGGCACCAGTGGTGAACCGAGAAAAGAAATCAAGTGGCTTTCCGGAGTCAAAAACATTTTGACAGGACCGAAATAACGGTACGCGGTGGGAAGTGCATTTCGGCACGGCAACGCTCGCCTCTCGCGGCGAGGAAAGTCGGACGAATTTTACTGAATAGGGCACAACTCACCTGGAATCTCGAATCGCCGACGGACTTGCAAAACTTTCCGGTAAATTTGCTAAAAAGCTGACAGTTTTCAAAGCGATTCTTCGCGTTTCATGCGCTTACGTGCGCCATTTGCCGAAAAAGCACCACCCACTTTTTCAGATTTCGGAGAACGACACCGATGACATCTGTGGCCATCTCAAGAACTAATATAATAAATTGTCATGAACTGCCGCCACGACTGCCACCGCCGCTGATCAGCCAATAGCAAATCAATGCTGCCGCGCGAAACTCTTCTTGTCGAAGAATTAAACCGATCCTAACAAGTTCAAACACGATCCTACTATGTGATTGCGCCTTTCGTCGCATTGATTTAGAAGAAACACAGTAGTACATAGAGAATGTAGAAATAATAAGAGTCACTAATTAAGTGTACTGTCCTAATAGCGTGCCTGACCTTCAGAGGTCGGAGAAATTTGATCAAAAAAAGTTTCCTTAGAAAAAAGTCCATTTTTAAGTTTTTAACTTCTTATAATCAAATAAATTATGTTGAAATTTAATATTCGTTATTTTATATATCACGTCAGAACTAATTTCCATCAACCATTTTATTGCTCAACTGTTCAATCTCAATCTAATTATTTTTTAAGTTTTACTATAGCCAATTATTCTATTACATTTTATTGTTTTGAATTGTTTTAAAGGAATAATACGAACAATATTTGAATATTTGTTAGAGCATTTTATTTTCTAGCAAGTGTTTATTGTTATAATTTCATAATTCTTACAACATTTTTATCCTTAATCTTAATCTATATTGTAGTCTGCAAACAAAAATTTATGCAATTTATTAGTTAAAGATACTTTGAGTGGTTTTCCTGATCAATACAAAATTTGAAACAAACAGCTGCAGGTTCTCTTAACAGAAAATAATTCATTCTGCAGACCACAATAAAGGCAGTTGTTGTGATCTAATAGTAACTGTTGTAGGGTTTGTATTGGGAACCACCATAAGGTTCCATCTGGCCACGGGAGCCTCCACTGGCCCTGGAGGAAGAACGGCTTCCACCACCAGGGTTGTAATCAATGGCTCTGCTGCTGTTTCCGCCGTAGCTGCGCCCTCCCTGGTCAATGGCCTGCTGCTGCTGTTTGATGTCTTTCTTGAACGAATTCAAGGCCGCGTTCGAAGCCCTCTTCATGGAGTTGATCACTTCAAGAGCGTTGGACGAGTCAAACTTCCTCTCGACGGTCATGGTGGCGGTCCCTTCAGTGGGCATGTACTGAGCACCGCCAGGACCACCAATGGCCCTTGAAGTGCTGGGCATGTTTCCCTGTTGATGAAAGCAGTCATCAAAAAATGTTTTTTTTTTATTCAAACCAAGCTCTTTGAAACCTGCTATAATAAATTTGGGTTTAGGTTTTAATGGACAATTCCATTTTTGCCTACTTTGAAATGTAAAATCGATTCAGATTTTTAAATTGTGTTTCGCGGGTTGCATATTCATAATAATCATCTAAGCCAACCGATTTTGGTTTGCAATAAATTAAGGAAAGCAGAGGAAAAGTTGACCAGAAGACAAACCTCGAAAGTGTAAAATTTATGAATAAATTTTAATGTGTTGCAGGGTCTATACGAAATATGCGCATGGGCTTTTATTATCAAAATTTACTTACTTTCACTTCAAACTTGACTTTGTAGTTATTGTCCATCTTCTACGTTAGCTTGATCACGGACAGCACCTCAAAGAGTTTTTCACGGCTTATTCAAGCTCTGCAACAAATAAAATAAATGGCCATTATATTTTGATTTTTTTTACAGGTTAAAAACCATTGACATTTAGAATAATAATAGGTAGCAGGAAGGAGAAAGGAAATCTAAAACTAGGTGAAATAAATATTTCAATAGCAAAAATTCACCGTCTTTGAGCAATTCAATAAAAGAAGAGCAAAATTAACACAAAATGAGCAATTATCAATTCAATGAGCTAAAATCTTGCAGCCAATTTACTCTTTTTTTCACGCTCCTTTCCTTGCACTGCTGAAGGGTTATTACAGCTGGGGCGACTTGATTATTTTTCAAAAACTTATGTCAGGCCAATAAAATGTTCACTTGATTGTCAGTTTTAAATGCAAGCTTGAGGCCTGACCAACTTAAAAGATCGCGACAAATCGAAATAAAAAATACAATAACTTTACTGAAGCTCTCGATCTGGAGCGAGATGAACTCGAGGACAGTCAAAATCGAAGTGATCTTTCCTTCTCTGATTTTTTTGCTTTCGTGCAACATTGAATAATTGAAATTTCATTGGTCGTCATCCAGAGGGTGGGTTGTCCTTCTGGCTGACTCTGAACTAGTTGACAAAGCCTTGGAGGTCGTGCTCCTTTTTTCTCTTCGGCGCCGACTGCCATAAAGTCGGCAAGGATGCAAAATCAAACGCATAATGCAACAAAAGAAAATGCTTTTGGAAATACAATGGATCGTTCCTAAATTTACAACCAGCAGAAATAATATTTTATATTTTTGAGAGACGGAAAATAATCTGGCGGCAGACGAGAAATTTTTATTGCACTCGCGGCTTAGGCGGCAAATCACACAAAGATGCACTCCCTTTTTCATGCTCACGTGGTGGTCACTTGGGGATGCAACGCTGGTCGCCTTTTGTTATTGACCGTGGTATGGGCAACTTGAGAGCCTCCCATGTAGGCAATTTATTCTGCATTTCATTTTCCTACTCTCAAGACAATAATTATTATTATTGCTCTCGATTATTATGATCTACAATTTAGTTCAGAATTGAAAAGAAAAAAGAAAAAATCCAAAAAGTAATTGCTACTAAAAATTACATCAGATTTGATTTTCACCAACAGTCCAAAAATTGGATAATCAAAAATTTTTGGAGGGTACAATTTAAGATTTATGAATAATTTTTTTTTTCTTTTTTGCCGCTAAAGTTTCTTTTCAGCAGCCATGGAAGACCATGAAATTACTTTGCTTGTGGTGCTGCAAACATGTAGTAAAGCGCGTTGCTGAATTTGTGGAATTCTATCTTGTTACATCGAGAAATGACATGAATTCCCTTGGTTTGAACAGAACGTAATGTAAAAATGCCAAATGCCCGAACATGCATGGCACGCACGGAAAGAACTTTGGAATGTGGCCGGTTAGATTTGTGTTCACATTTCAAAGATTGCTGCCAGAGCCCAAAAATGCACATAAAATAAAAGAAATTCCATTCCACTTTTTGAGGCCAGGCTCAAGGTACATTCATTTCAAATTATGTATTAATTATAATATACTATGTACGAATATATACTGTACAAAACCCGACTTGTAAATGAAATATTTTTCCATAAAATCAGGTTTTTACTTTTTAATTGATAAATTTTAATGGTCGACACCAGGTCGACACTGTATTTTGAGAAAAATTTAAGAATTTCTTTTTTACATTCTACATTATCTTTTTTATACTGACAATGATTCGCCCAGAAAGATAATATAATTCAATATATGTAATAATTTCACACATTCAGACATAATGTAAGCAAAAGATCGGAATAGCCATGCGAGTATATGTATGACTTAAATTATTATGCATTGAGAAATTATCCGGATGCATTTAAATATGACATTTGAGCAATTAACTGAATTAACAATTAAATGGGTTCTTCGCAAAGAAACAAAAGTCATGCGTCCCGATGCGTCCGCACATTTATGCAAACGTGAAAAATAACATAAAAAAATTCATCTTACCAAATGAGAAACGATTTCGCGTTCTTTGCCCTGTTCAGGAGAATCAGGAGATGATCCGCTTCGTGTGACGTCCGGTCTGTGTTTGCGCCTTTGCTGACTTGCTCTTGATACTTAAGTGTCTAATTCAGCCTTCAGCCCAGCAACACAGAAATCAGACACTTTCATGTGCAGGCGCAACATTGCATTTTGCAAACCCCTGGTGGGGAAGCTTTGCTGGAGCATTGATTGGTTGTTCGTTCACCATCCCTGCTGCTGCCGGCCGAAGATCAAGGTCGACTTTTGATGAGTTTTTACAAGAAAAAATTTCTTCTTCCGATGCATGCACAAACTTGTTTTTGAACAGCAAAAATATAAAAGAGAAGTAAATGAGGCACGCACATGCACATGCTAGAAATCGGCGAAACACTTTTAGAGTGCTCTGCGCTGTTTCATATTTCATATGAGGCAGTTTTGATATTTTTGTATGGATGCAGAATGCGGAGGCCTCGTTTGATCCGCCGCAGCCGCATTATGCTTGCACCGGCGACTAGAGCAATAAAAGTTGGAGTCTGGAAAGACAGACAATAGAAGCAAGCACTTTACAATTTTTTTTTTTAAATTTGTGACGAATTCTATGAACTAAAATGAGGAAACTAATCATTATTTTCTTTTAATTTTTTTTTTTTTTTGCTTTCCTGCGAGATAAAAAAGACTTTGCAGTTTGCTGCTGAAAGAGCTGCAAAAAATTAAAAAAGATCAAGATTCTGGACCGCGCTAATTGAGTTAAATATAATTTTAATTTTATGTTCACGTGTGCCTTTTACGACGGGATTTATTTTATATCTATGCAAACTTCTAGCATTTAGAGAATAACGTTTAATATAATTTTAGATTTTTCCTCTAATTTAATTTTAGATTTTCCGTCGATCTTCTTTTAATTACCTGCATGGTATTAATCGTATTACTAATTACTGGAGATATTTTATTTTATGGCGCTCACATTAAAAAAAGAGCAACGAATAATTTTTTCTAAGTTCTAATTTTTTAAACGTATTTTTCTGCTCAAGTTTTTAAAAAACAAAACTAAAAAAAAAATCATACATATTTTTTAAATAAAATATCATTTTTTTTAATGCATTGAATTTTTTAAAATCATAGTTATTAGGTCTGTGTTACCCGTTAGAGACTCGAACAAAAAATGTATTTTTAATTATTGTGGTAGAATTTCACGATCGAGGGTTGATTCATAGGTGATTTGAATTTAAAATCGGCTTTTCTTCGATGGGTTTTTGTGAGTTGTTTTATTGTTTCAGAAAAAAAATATTTTCTTAAACAATAAACAAATCACAAAACCCCATAGAGGAAAAGCCGATTTTAAACTCAAATCACCACATATTTTTAATAATACAGTCTTAATTCTCATAAAAATAATCATATTAAAATGTTCAGGAAATTTTTCAGCAAATTTTGTGTTCGGAGGTTTTTTTTAACAATCTTGTGATTGATTACATATTTTTTACATTAAATACAGAAATTTTTTTGTTTTTCATATATGAGGAGGCAAAGGTCAGAAATTAATCAGAAAAACTCCCGCTCGCGCTCAAGATTAGGAGCACTTGCCACGCCCACGCACGGTTCGTGTCAAGTTCGTGTTTTGTTTTGTCTGCAAAGGGGACGGGCAGCAACCAACGATGGCGGACTTGGAAGAGCACATACAGCAGCTTCAGAGGGGAATAAATAAGGTAAAAAAATCAGTGCTTATTTTTTTCGCTTCTTAGTAATTAATTTGGAAGCCCCAGACTTCGATCCTTCTTTTTCGACACTGGGAAAGCCACTCCTCATTCTTGAAAATTCCCCCACGAAAATGTCTGACATATTTTTCCAACCGGCTTCAAAATTAATTTCTTGATAATAATGCTGACTAGTCAATCTTGAGAAAAGTTGCTGATCTACACGTGTCTTACCTTTTGCAGACTATCAACATTGAAGATCTCACACCCGAGGAAAAATGGAGGTTCGGAACATAATAATTCATTTATTTTGATTTAGTAATTTAAAAAATGTAAAAATTAAATTGCAGACTGGAGCATATAAAAATGCACGAGAAACACAAAGGGCACGATGCCATGCACGCCGAGATGATATTCATCCTGATTGTGACCCTGATAGTAGCTCAGGTGGTGCTGGTTGAATGGAAGAAGCGGCACTTCCGGTCGTACCAAGTACGTTTCAGCAAAATTTGATGCAAATTTTTACCTTTTAATTTCTTATGAAAATTTCAGTTTGTCTCTCTACTAGGAATGTGGGTTATTCCTTTGGCGCTAAGTCTTCGTAACCAATGGTGGCGCTTTATTTTCTCTTGGCTGCTTTTCTCCTGCATCACAGGACTGGTTGTTCGAAAAGCTCTTCAGAAACCAGTCGAAGGAACCACACCAAGGTTTGATCAGCAAAATAATCATGTCTCAAATTCTAAAATAATGTAATTAATTAATTAGGTTGGTGTACAAATGGTTTTACTTCATCTACAAGGCGAGCTACTTTTTCGGCATTCTGGGATATGCGGTGATGATGCTGACCTTCTTCGGCTTCAACCTGCTTTTCAACGCCAAGCCGAGCACTTGGATGGACTTTGGTTTGCTCAATCTCTTCTATGGCCTGTACTACGGCGTCCTCGGCAGGGACATTGCCGAGATCTGCGCAGATAAAATGGCCTCTCACATTGGGGTGTGGAAATAGTTTAATAATATTTGAATAATTTGACTGACTTTAATTTTAGTATTACACTCCTCATGGCATGCCAACAAGACAGCTTGAAACCAACATGTGTGCAATTTGTGGGAATAAGTTGCTTGTGTCCACCGAGGAGGAGGGTGTCATCGAAAACACTTACAAACTCAGCTGTGATCACACGTAAGTGGATAAAAATTCGAATTTCTTTTTAAGGATTAAAATTGGTATTAAATTTATTGTGATGAACTTGATAAATTAGCAAAGAAAAAGAAGAAAATTATTTAAATGAAATCAGTTTAGGCTGAAAATATTTGTACCAAAAGTCAATAGTTAATAATTGAGCATTTTCAGTTTCCATGAGTTCTGCATCCGAGGCTGGTGCATTGTCGGCAAGAAGCAAACCTGCCCCTACTGCAAGGAAAAGGTGGACCTGAAGAAAATGTTTTGCAACCCGTGGGAGCGGCCGCACGTCCTCTACGGGCAGCTGCTTGACTGGATCCGCTGGCTCGTCGCCTGGCAGCCGCTGATCCTCTTTCTAGTCCAGGGCATCAACTGGGTCCTCGGACTTGAGTGAACTCGTCCAACTATCGTTGGCACTCGTCTGAATTATTCCTTTCACAGACTTGACACCTTTGAAGGAAACTAGTCTCACAGTTTTGTATGAAAACTGCATTCTGGCTCCTTCAGGAAATAATTATGCAGAGTGGATGTAAAAATGTTATTTGTATTGTTCAATGTGCCTCTCATCTCTTACAAAAGGGAGAACAACTATAATTATTGAATGTGAGCCCTGTGCGCATGAGTCGTGTATTTTCGGCATATTATACGTATATTATACGCATAATTTTGGTATAGCCTAGATGGTGTATAGACGTATATTACACGTCTAAAATGTCCGTCTAATATACGTGTAATATGCGCATAGGCCTACACCGTGTACGCTAAACGCTTTTTAAGCGGCTTTTATACCTCTTTATATTTTCGCGTTCTTTTTATATTTCTATTAATTATTTCAGCAGGTATTTTCGTAATTATCATTGAAAGTCAAATTTATAGCAATATTCGTTTTATTTAAATAGCTCTCACGTAAATTCCATATATCACAAAAATTTCCAAGTATTAACACAGAAAGTAATTTAACATAAACAGTTCCATACCATTAAAGAACAAAATACATCGAAGATCGAAGAACAAATTAAAGAGTTAGATGGTTAATTAAAATTTTTGCAATATAAATTTGAGATATTTTTAACACTATATTTTCCATTAACTCCATGCAAAAAGTACAGAGATTTCTTAAATTATCCCCACTAAATCAGGTACGATACTACTTTTATTTTTAGTAACTAAAGCAGTACCGAATACAACATTTTTGAATTAAAAGATTTTTTTAAGTATTACATTACCTACAAATAACTAAGTGGAAGACTGCATAATAAAGGAATACACTATTTAATTTAAGCCCCCCCAAAAAAAAGAGTTCATAAATTAAACAAAACCAGCAGCACACATTTAATGAATGGTATATCATTCCTTCCTCTCTTTTTTGAAGGGAAAATTAAAAATATTAATTAGTTCAAAAGAAGCTCAAGCGTCATTAAAAAAGCGACGGCTAGGCCAGATCATGACAATTTTTTCATGAATAGCGTGCTCACTTTGGAGGTTCAAATAGTATCTGATTGAACATCACTTAAATTATGGAAGTCAATAAAATAATTTTCAAAATTGTCTTCGTTATAGAGTTTTCAGAATTGTATATCTTCTTATTGCCCCGTCTTCATTTTTCTGCTCTGCCTTGGCGCTGACTGGCTGTTGGCAAGTATGTCTATTTCAGTGGCATCACCATTGCAATCTTGCTGTTTCTCTACAATGAAAAAAAAATCTTATTAAAGAGTGCAAAATTTGAATATTGTCAATATATTATTTTTTTTAAATCCGTGTTTCATTGCGGAAGCTTTTAATTTAATTTGAGTATAGTTAAAAGTAATTAATTAAAAAATTCCCTTTTTCTCTCTCCATTCATCACTTTTAAATTTACTCATATCAAATTCACAAATAACTTAATTTTTTTTTTTTTTTTAAATTTCAACATTTTCTTTGAACTAAATTAACAGATATTAGATTTACTAAACCGCAATCCACAATTAATAGTTATTTATATTGCCAATGTGTTTATTGACATTTTTTAATATTCTTTTACCTCAGATATATTTGTTGTCCATTTAACTCTGACGAGAATAATGGTACGCAGCTCATCGTCCATATTTCTTGATCTGAAAACATTTAAAAAGATTAGTTTAAGGCCATTTTTGTCAGATAATTTATTCTTTAAATTTTTTTCAAATAACATAATTATCTAAAAGTTATATTCAAATTACAACTGTTTTAGTCTACTTTTCTTTTTCTCTTTTAATTATACTCGTAAATTCTAAAGCTATTTGCCGCACTGTTTTTGCCGACGCTCAAAAATAGAGCAGCAGCAAGTTAGAAGTCAGGGTAGGCAATACTGCGAGGGCGGAGCATAGGGTAGGTAGGATCTAGGATGCTTGAAAAAGTTTAAGGAATCTCCGCCATCGAGGGGATGCGCTGGTGTGCCGGAGTTGAAGGAGGCACATTCTTAATAAATTCAAGAATAAAATTGTTATTGCTAATTAAGTGCCGATTGGTTACTTTTTTGGAATTAGATTTTGTGAATATTGGAAAATATATTGATTTGATGCAAAAATTTATATATGAAAAAAGTTAGACAAAAAAGACAAAAATAAATAATTTACTAATGAAAGCTATGCGCGCTGCTTTATTCACAAATATTTTTTTTTAAATTAATTTTGACAATATTCAACAATAAATCAAAACTCAACAGTTTCGCCTCAAAAATAAACAGTAAAACTTATAGCCTAAAACTGAAATTTAATCGTAAGCAAAATTGAAAGCATTGAATTTGAATTAAATTTCATATAAAGAGAAAACATAATTATTTAACATACAGAAACGAGTCTGTAAGGCTATATATCTGAATCTTGAGATTTCAATAAAGTAGATAAAGGCAGATATATATGTAGAAAGAAAAGTATTAATTACCTTTGAAATTAAAATTCCATTTGATGAGCTCAAAAAACACGCAGTGATTTCTTGAACGTCCTCACAAGTGTGTTGTTGGTTTGTTTGTGCTGCTGCTGCTGCGTGATGCGCTGCTCTGTGCGGTTTTGCTATAGTTGACCACTTGGCAACTGCCAGGAAGAACCTTTTCCACCCCCTCTTTGATACAGCAACTCCAAAATTTTACATCCCCATTGTAGGACACGGTGGCCGCGAGCAAGCGGAGCAAACAATCGGCCTGCAAGCGAGGAGGGAGAGATTTCAAAGGGTATTTTTCAACGACTGATGCTTTTTCTCCCAAACAAACAAGAACATATTTCACGAGAGTTTGGTCGCCTGCTTGCTCGCTCGCTGTTTCTATATTATTCATTTTTTTATTTTATTTATTAAATTGATTTATTTTTTCTATTTTTATTTTAAATTCTTTTGGAGTACTGTGCTAAAAACAAAACTGTGCTTATTTTAGAATGTACCATTTAAAGTCAATGTCAAAACCTTTTGCACAATACATTACACTTTGCATTGCACTTTACACACCTGGCACCTTTATTTTAGTCAGTGGGTCTCAACGCGCTGCTGACCGTTCTGGCTGGCGCCTGACCGTGCTGCTCATTTGGCACTATTAGCGCCGCGAATGAGTAAATTATTTTGCTCCTGGAACGCTAGACTTCCCCTGCTTTTCGAATAAAATTTGAAATTATGAATGGATTGGAATTTTTGAAAAATGATTTCAGGAATGGAATCGGCAAAAACAATTTGTTTTTATAAGAAATTTTGAATTCAGTTCTAGCAATCAGATTATAGCAAAATAATTTTTAAGAATTTATTAAATAATTATTATCATTCATAATTAATTTTTATTTTCTTTGTTACATTATTTTACTAAAATTTAATAAATTCCTTTGCTTAGGCGTGGTGCCGTTACTAAATTAAATAAGCAACAATACGTCCTTTGAAGGATTAGCAATTTTTTTTTTAATAGTTACGCGATGGTTGTATTAAATTAAAAAAAATTAATGATGAAGGAGAATAAAAAATTAATAGTATGTGAGAAATTCATTTAAAAATTTAATAAAAATTTTAACTTATTTTTTATATAAACGACAGTAATAATATGAGCAGATCATGCTACAAATGTCAATCAAAGTTTGTTGAGCTCCAATTTTTTGCCGATCCTAAATCTGAAATCATTTTCATATAGTTCCAGCCCGTTCATAATTTTTAAAATTTGAGGGGAAGAAGTTCAAAGGAGATCAATCGCCCTAAGTGCGGAGTCATTTACTAAATCGCGGCTCTAATAAGCCAAATGAGTAGCGCTGTCAATACGGCGCGAGTACGTTTTTTTTTTTGAGACAGAAATATGTGACTGTTAAATTATGAAAATTTTTAAATAGGCGGTGAGGGAAAAACCATGATTTTTAATCAAATTATGCAAATTTGACCAATATAAAAATAGTTTAAGAGCAGCTCGAGAGAAAGAGAATGAAAAGCACCTGTGAAATGTATGTAACAATAATAATAATAACACCCTATCAATGGGGGGAGACACATAGTGCTCTTTGTCGCGCGCGCCTGTCTCGCAGCATAACAGTAAAAACAGTCTGCGCCACTTTAAAATTCTAAATCGTTTAAATTCAATAACTTTACTTCTAGAAATCGGAATTTAATTTGGTCAACGCCACTGGAATCCTTGAAAGAAGGCGCTTCCAAAGATGCTAAATTTAAATAATTTTATTTTTGGGGTCATCAGGGCAGAGGTGTGACCCAGGTCAAATTTCCATTCCAAAATACTTTCTTGCAATGGCCCACAAAATTTCTAGCTAAAATATGTTTAAATGAAGTCTGTCCGATTGTTAGGAGCATTGCAGTTTCACTCGATAATTTAAAAGAATCATCACGTTTTTCCACCTTTTAAATTTGTTATCTCAATTTCTATTAACACTGGCGCCATGAGCGATTCAGAACTTTTTGCCCATTAGTTGAGGAAGCAGGCCTTCAAATTTCAAGAATGTATTCAGTTATTTAATGTATTTAATTCACAAATATATTACAAAATGTGCCACATCTCCTTTCAATTTACAGAAGCACAAAATTTGATTGAGGAAAATTTTGCACTGACTCATTTTCTGATAAAATTTTCATCCATCTAATTTCTCATTGCAATATTAACCGAGATAATTAAACCGAAGCAACAAAAAACTCGGCAGAGTGCGTGTTTTGCGTGTCTCCTGAAGGCGCCTCATACCTTGCTGCTAGTGTGCAGAGAGATTGAAGGCTTCGTTTTGATAATGGATTTCATTTTTTCGTAGAAATGTTGCTAATGGGAATAATGACTTGATTTTTGCTTTATTTAAGACTTTTTGTTAATGCTTTTGATTTCTTCCTCAACATATTTTTTGTAGGATGAGTATTTAGTTCTTAAAATAACAAATACTAAATTTTTAAATTAAAAAATTTAATAATTTAACATTTTAATGTCTGTAAATTTATCAATTTTTTAAACTTCAACAATATTTTAAATTTTTTGATTCTGTTTTTTCAACATGCAGTTCTTTCTGAAATCGCATTATTTCATTATATATTTTTTTAATTATTTAAATTTTGTAATATATTTTTAAATCACAAAATACTAAGTTAAAATATTTAAATTACGGAGCAAAATTCTATAATTTATCATCCAATTTTTAAGTAGCTATAACAAAACGTATCTGGAATAAACATTTCTATCCTAAAACAAACAAAAAACAAAAATTCCTCCGCACGTATTTATTATTTTGTGGTCTGCAAGCTAATTCCCGCCACGAAAAGGGAGATTTGTCTAAGTTCCGAAACGAAAGAAGAGCGCAAACGCGGCTGAATTGTACAGCAGCGAGCCTGACCGAGCCGCTCCGAGCTCGGAAACCTCCGAGCACTCTGCTGGCTGCGGAACCGAGTCCTTTTCTGCCGCCCCGTTTGAGATCCAATAAAAACTCATTAATAGGTGCAGGATTTTTACAAAGAACGCGAAAAATTAACTATATTTTGCTAAAAATATTTACATACTTTTTTTTTGCCAAAGTTTGTAAGTTATTTTAACTTTATAAATATCTTCAGCTGAGAAAATTTTTCAAAATTCACACAGCTATACAATTTAATTTATAATTAAATGCTTTGTGTTTTTATTTCTAGTAGCTGGCGGTGGCACACTTGAAAAGCGCGAGCCAGGTTGTTTGTCACTTGGAGATTTCTCTCTAGCACAATAACCTTTTTCCTCCCCTTACACATACATGCGCTTCAATGAACCCCCTCGCAACAAAAGGAGCAGCAGATTTTTCTCTTGTTGTTGGGCACGGTTGGGCCACATTATTTCCTAAACTAAAAACTGCCATCTGTGTAACTAACCTAAAAATATTTAACCGATTGCAGCACCCCCTGGAAACCTAACTGATATTTTTACAGAAGGGTGTATTTTATGATGTCTCAAAGCACCCTAAAAGTATGCAACCTATATGCAGCAATGTATAAGAAATTGCATACATGCCGTTTTGTTTTAGGTTAAATATTTAAACCAGTTTTCACTTGAATTAAAATTTTAAAAACAACAAATATAAGAATGTTTATACTTTAAGTCTAGAAAATGTCTTAAAAAATCCAAATATAGCTAAAACAAGATATAAAACAGGATTTTCCCTCCAAGTCCAAAAGTATCTTATAACTACTAACATTAATAATGGTATTATTGTAATAATTGAGAAAACTAATATTTATGATTGATTAATGTGGCGTAAATATGGTTGGAATTTTTTGACCTGCTGAAAATTGAAATTTAAAACAATCAATTTTAAAAAAAGGACTAAAAAATTATTTTTATTTGTGCTACCCGGGTACATAAAACACTTAAATTAAAAGAAATAAGAATTTTAATTTGATTTGAATGAAATATTTAGTGCACGTATTTACTGTACGAATATTATACGCATATCTTTAAGGTGTAAAAACCGCATATTATGCGTGCAGACCTAGCGCGCTAGAGCTATACCTCTTTTAAACGTCTTCTACACGCGTGTAAAAGAGGGGTAGCGCTACACCGTGTAGGAATACACCGACCATGTTGACAGGGAGTGATTCCATGGAGTTTTTCTATGCATGCTTGAACTCGATTGCGAGTTAAAAATTCTTACACCATTGAAAAAAGTATAGGTATTATTTTTATCTATAGGCAAGTTAAGAGAAATTATAAGTTATTGAAGTTGGTTAGTTACGTTGGGAAATTATGCTCCGTTGCTAGTCCTGAAAAGTTGATGGTTGAAAATGGAATTTGATTTTAATTGTAATAGTATGCCAAAAGTTGTTTTTATATCATTGTGGCATTTTTATTTTGTTCTCCTAAACTTGCCAGATTTTGTTATGAAGTAGTTAAAAAATTTCTTGAAAATGAACTTATTCCTGTAAAATGTATTAATAAAATAATATCATTCTTCGGTTCACTATAAACAAATATTTCCGAAAGATTTTCACTTTTTATTCAGAACTATGGCTTGAATAGTTTTGAGAGGGGAAGAAAGCCTTCAGATGCTCAAATCAATAAAACTGCAACTTGATAGCAATAATCTTATTACATCAGATTTATGTTAATGTGCATTAAAAGTTGAGGGAAAATGAATAATAAAATATCTCAATGATATTTTTTGCAATTATATCAGATAACATAAATACTACTTAAATAACTTCATTTTATATTGAAATAATAATATCGTTTTGTGCAGTCTCATTAATAATTGCAGCAGTTTTTAAATAAATGTTACAGCAGCTATGTATGCAACTCTCAACGCACAACTCCACTCCATTTACAACACAGCTTTGATTTGCCATCTGCAGAGCAGAAGGAGAAGCTCAGAAGCCCTTCGACCTGCGCATCCTCTGCAGGCGAGGACAGAAACCATCAGAGGGGCGGAGTGGCTGGTTGTGTGAACTGTGGTGTGGAGCCGAGCGAGCAAAAGAATCCATCCGTCGTCGTCGCAGTTGGTTCGGTGCTGGTCCTCCTCCGTTCGGATTTTTACCCTTCGGCGAGGCGAAAAGTGGGTGCAAGGGCGTGCGCCAGGGCGCATTCAGTGAGCAGCCGCACGGCCTTCGGACACCTGTGGACACACAGAGCAGCAGCACTCGACCGACGGGTGAGTAGCTGTTGAACCCGCCCGAGGGCCTCGCGTAGGCCGTGCCACCTCAGGTTGCCCGGCCGGAACCCCGGGGGCCACCTTCGACCTTCCGAGCGCCTCCTTCCCTCCCCCTATCAGCGTCGGACGCGACCCCTGTGCGAAATCTGGACGGTCGGCGCCACCGCCAGGGTGGACGACGCCAGGTTTCAGCCTTCCAGGTTCAAGGTCAACGCGAGAGCCGCTCTCAGGTGAAAAACAAAATGATGCCGCGCGCGCGGCCGGTCAGGTGGATTTTTGCGTGTCGCGCATTCCTCGATCTCCCGACGCCTTTTTGCTGCATCAAGCCCAATTTAATTAGCACCGCACAGGACTTTTTGCCGTTCAAGCCCTGGTGACAATTAACTAAATATTTTTTGTTATTAAAATATGAAAGTATTAAAAAAAAAAGAATGAGAAAAAACTATATTTTTGTTAATAATTTAAAGCCAGCAGTTTATCCGTAATTCAATGAAAACATCCAAAATAATAATAGCTGTGCAAGTTTGTTTGTTTGCTATTAATTACTTGGTTCAAAAGTGAACCCATCAAGAATTGGCTTAAAATTTTGTTTTAAATCTCAAAATTAATTTAACTCCAAAAAAGTTTGACGTCAAATGAATTAAACGGAATTAAATAATCTTTGCCTTGAAATTTTTCATATAATTCAAATTGAACTTGTGTCGGAACAAACCCGTGACGCTAACACTTCCTATTTACTCATAATTTGTTGGTATTCCAATCTAGTTTCTATGTTATTTCTCAATTTAAGTGGCTGTTTGCGCTCGTTATCAGACAGAAGGTTGAAAAATTGTATTTTTCACTCGTGTGCATGACGTCCCCATTCTCCCTTCACAAGCGCCTAATTTTATCTCTCTCTACAGCTTGCTTATTCTTTCTCCGTGTTTGTATTGCAGCGTGCGTAGGCGTGCGTGAATTTCACGCCGGTACAACGATTCGCCAAGTTGTAGAAATGTGGAGACGAGAATTCAATTGATTTGTCGCCCTGGATTTGATCCCCGTCCTTAGAAGGCGATAAGATAACGACTAATAATAAGTGAAAACGACCCAGTCGGGGCAAAAAATGCACCTTATCTCGATTCCCCGGCGTGCTTTTGTCCTCAGCCTTGTGAATCAGACACAATCGATTCGGAGTTGTCGCAATGGAAAGAGTTAGAAATTTCATAGACCTAAAATTGCTGCTTATTTATTGGTATAAATCATGAAAATTCCAAATTTTACAATGAGATTATAATAATTTTATTATTATTAAAATCAGTTAAATAAAAAAAACGAATTTCTGGCCTCAAAGAACCTAATAATAATTCCTAGACACATGTTTTACAATAAAGGGATAATCTGACGGCTTTTTCTAATTTACTTATGAATTATAAAAATATATTTTTGCACATTGCATAAAATATTTTTTTTATATTAAATTTAATATATTCATTTTTTAAGATCAGTGATGTCCTAAATATATAAAAAAAAAACATAAAATTAAAATATGATTATATTATATTATTTTTTTTTAAATATAATTTACAAATTGACTAGAATTTAAAAATATTGAAACTACTTGCTTTTTTTTAATATTTTTTGGTCCTTTTTCACCAAAAATTTCTCGTTAAAAAGTCATTTTATTATGATACTTTATTAAAAGCAGGTTTTGTCAACAGATAAAGACGAATCGGTGAACAATTGAAGTTATTCGCAAAGTTCTTTTGTACCTGAAAATTGCCTTGATTTTACTTTCTCAGAAGTGTACCGTGTTAGGTGTCAATTAGTTTGCTCGACAAGTGCAAACTTCCAGCAGTCAAACTTTGAATTAGCCCTAGTCCAAGCACTTTCCGGCACGAAAATGCAAATTGCACGCCTTTTCACTATCAGCGGCTCATTTTGAATATATTTACCGAAACATTGACGAAATGAGCAAACTCGAGGCGCCATCAAGACAATGAGTTGGCGAGCGAGCGCGGAAAGAAAGGGAGAGCTCGTTGAAATTCATTGACCCAGTTGGGGACAATCAAGAGACAAAAGCCTTGCGATCGATGGCCTGAAGTCGAAATCTCGGAAATCCTCCAAAACGCCAAAAATCTCGCGGCAACTCGGCCGAACACGCGCGACTTTTTTGCCACTCGAGCCAAATTGAAATAACAAATTGCAGACTCGCGCAGAGCAACATGTGAGAAAGTGAATTTTTATTGGCTAAACGGCGGCTCTTGGGCTTTATTCGCTCGAATTATCGCTCTGCAGAGTCAGGCAAAAAATAAATATACACAGACAAAAATAAAAGTGCACGCGCGGCGAAAAGGGAATAAAGAAAGAAAGAGGATAAAAACATGTAAATTTTTGTACGCCTTCCTGCGCGTGAAAATTTATGAGAAAGAAAGAGAGAAGCCACACCGACGACCCAGTAACCTTTCCTACTCCGTCTTCTGCACTTTTGTTTGACACGAAAATTGGCAAAGAGCTCCTTAATTTATCAAATTTACTCTTAGCTTAAAAGCCAATGATTTTTTAAATAAATTTCTAGATGTTGAACACGCGTTGTGAAAGCAAAATTTAATTAGCCTATTTATTTCCAGTTGTGATGTATTAATTGATTCTTATTTACATTATTTTACCTGCAAAAAAAATTCATTATTTTTATCTAGTAAAAACAACAATAAATAATAGTACAAATTTAAACATGAAAAAGTCGTTAAAATAATTTAAATGCGTTTTATGAAATTTAAAACAATTGAAAGATAAAAAAAATATTAGATAATATAAATATCAATGAATTTCTTTAACTGTTAGTTATTGTATTGGTGAAAAAAGGAAGAAGAATATTTATAACAATTTTGAAATAACACCTTCAATATTTTTTTTGCTATTATTTTAATTTTTTTACAAGACAAGGAAATAATTAATTTTTTGTTAAGTATTATTTTTACATATTTTAAATCTTCCTGCTCCTTTATTTTACTTTTCTGAAGAGCTCTCCATTTTTAAGCGTTTTTTTCTAACTCATTGAGTTGTTTTTAAAAAAATTCTCAAACAATTCCACCGAGTGTTTCACTTTTCACTTGAGTGGAGTCCTCACTCGTTTTCATCTCTCTCATTTTAATTTCAAAAGCTGACGAAAAATTAATTCCGCGGCGATTCCGCATGGGAAAAGCTCGAGATTCGGCGCTCGCTTCCATTTGGCAGATTGTGCGCGCGGCGTGTGTGAGAAAGAAACAACGAACGCGGCTCAAAGAGAGCCTTGCTCCGTAATAAAACGAACGCCGCGAGTGTACCGCTCGCATGGGAGGATGGGACGGGGTTCCGTTAATGTAATTATGCCCGCCGCCGCATGCACGGCGTTAAATCATCGCATCTCTCAAACGAGAAAAGACGCGCGAGGAAACACTCGATCAAAGAGATGCGATTCAATTGTTTTGCAATCGTCACTGAAAATAACAATTAACTGCGGGATTAATTGATTATGTTCGATCTTGACCTTCGGAGCAGCCGTAAAATTTTTAATCTCTTGTTTGATTGTGCAGGTGTGGTAATTGTCCAATTCATCAATCAAATGAGTCAATAAAAATAAATTTACTTGCAATTTTTCCTTCATAGTTTAAAATTAAAATGTCACAGTTTAAAGCTGGTACAGAGTAAAGATTTATTTTTATAAATAATAGAAAAATTCCAATCGGTTTCTTTTATGTTATAATGAGGTTTTCTAAAATAGATGCATTTTATTAGCTTTTAAATGATTGAAATAAATTAAAACGAAATCAAGAGAAATGACAGATTGCTGTTTGATGATTCCTTGCGAAAAAGGAGATTAGCAAAAAAGCGCCGCTGCAATTTAAGAAGTCGTTCGCTCGCTCACTCTCTCTGTGACGCCGCTCATTTTCATTCTCCAGTTTCACACAAGAAACCCGAAACGAGCTCTGCTTCTTTTTTTTCTCTATCCATCTCTCTCGTTCCAGTGCCGTACCGTTCGCCATCCTTCTTTCGTCTCCACCGTAAATGAATGAGACTCGAATAGAAGCGCGACGGAAAAAATCCGCCTCGGGCTAAAAGGTCCCCCCTGAGAGTGGATTGCGTCACACTGACCACCAAAAAGAGAGAGAGATGGAATGAGAGAGAAAGGCATTTGTATACGTGGTGGCCGCGCAGGTCGTTCACCGCGGCCGATCAAAAACAAATATGCCCGTACGTGATTTAACAGGTGTTGGTTAATGAACGGGACGCTCGTAGGCACAGACGCGTCACGGCCTACGATGATATTCTGATGATCCATCTGCCATCCATAATTAAAATTCAAGTAATTTATATATATACAAGAATAATTATTGCACTATATTTAAAGTTAAAAATGATTCAAATTTAAGAAATAATAAAAAAAATGGTGTTTCTCTAGATTTCCTAATTTAGATTTGAATAGATTTAGAATTGAATTGATAATTATGTTGTTGAAAACTAATAATTAAAAATTTAAACTTCTATCCCCCAATAAATGGAAAGCCAATTGTCATTTTATAGGTTAAGTACTGCTCATCTAGTAACTGGTAGAAAAAAATCAATATTTTATCAATATTTTAGTAAAAAAACTTATTTTTTACCAACCATTTCCACAATCTGTCTTTTTTTTAATAAGTTTTTTTTTTAATATTCATTTAATATTTAATAAAATATAATTTAAAATGAAACAAATCTATAATTATTTTATGTTTAGCTTGCATTGCGGAAACCTTAATTGTTTTTAGACTTCTTATTTCCCGCTGTTCTACATACAAATTAAGCACCTTTATTTTTTATAAGTAAAAGTGGCCGTTTAAGAGTTCCAAGGTGGCTGTCTCGCTCTGGTTATCGGTAATTTTTCTTTCTATTCATTTTCCGTGCGATACACGTTTGGTCACGTGTGTAAGTGCCACGGCGACTTTTATTACCGAGCAATGCACAAATACGCGGCACGTGACGAATATAATTCTGCCTCGCGAAGC